ATTTTATAAAGTGAAAGAATAATTTGCGATTTCATTTTCGTTCAGGGGAAAATAACTCGTGGCACACGTGCCGCAAAAGGTATCTGAAGTCATACTACGTAGTTGACAAACCTAGCCAAGCGAGAAAGAAATATCTCGTGGGTTTTTTCTTAAAATTTAATTTTGTTAATTTTTTTTTCTTCCTTTCATTAGCTTGCCTCCTTCTTCTACTTTGTAATTTGTAATTTTTGGTATTGTGTGCCTTCACTTTCTGAAATATTTCTGTCTGTTAGTCTGGATCTTCATATACAGGAGTAAGACACTTCTCTGCAAACTAACTCTGTTAAAACAAACATCAACTATCACGACTTGATGCGAACATTTTATAAACTTTTTTTCAAATCTATCTGTATCTCCGAATATACACAATGAGAAAATTGAAACAAATCAAAAACCTCATTAGTAATGCCATGCATGTAAGTTTTTGCTGATATTGTAATCGCGAAATTGTTTCAATTCCACAAAATTGACATTTAGAATTAATTTTTTTTAACTTATAGAAAGCAACTATTAATTTGAACAATTGTCTGAAACAATTAATTTTTCGTTCATTATAAATTATTTTCCTTCATCATTTTATTGTAATACATTTTCATTCCAATTCAACAATAATTTTATCTAAAAAATTTAAATTTATTTCTCAAAATGTTAAAAAAAAGTAAATAAGAAATAAAAATAAATAAATAATATAAAATAAAATAAAAATATTTGTACATATCTGTTTTCAGATAATTATTATTAATCAAAATTTGACATTATAAAAATTTATCTCTTCATTGATTGCGAGTATTTTTTTAGAAAGAAGATGCGATGTAAACGGAAAAAGCACACTGAAAAATTTAAAATAATTTTAATTTGCTGAAATTTTCGCATTAAAGGAGGTACTTAATGTATTAAAAGTGCGTTTGTAAGTTTTAAATACCTTATACATTTAAAGAGAGTAAATAATTTTTCGAGTTTCTTGGCAACGGATCTAGTTGAGCACGCACTGAATTGTTTAAACTTTTAAAAAAAAGCAAGCGTTTGACTACTGATTTTTCGACAAACCCAGTGCATAGTTACAAATTGATGTCATTATTCTTTATTTATTGGTCATTCTCTTATCAATATTTCAAATAATTCTCTCACAAAAACAAATTAAATTAGAAATGATTTGAAATTTAAAAAAAATAAAAATTAGTACTCAATTTAATATTTTCTGAAACTTAGGAAACATCCTTATTGGATCTTAAACGACAAATTTGTCTAAATTACACTTATTAGATTCTTAATTTCCCGATGCGTATTTAATATAAAATTTGAATTTCCTTTTTGAGGAAAAAAAATACAATCGGAAGTTAGAAAGCATTTTGCATTACAAACAGTATTCATTGCTTAGGATGCAGTGCAAATGCAATATTTTATTTATTGAACAAAAAGGAAATAAATAAATTGAAATAAAATAAAATAAAAAGAGGAAGGAATATCTTACCTCTCTTGTCTAAGATTGATTCTGATTGAACTTTCAAACAATTTTGAATAGACCAAAGGTTTAAACCACTTGACGATTAGGAGATCTCTCCGTTGATTTCGCGTTACACCACTCGCCTATTTTGAATCGTTTTTATTTTTAAGACAAGTGGTTGTTACGTTAACTATTAACATACTCTAAATTATTTACGTTCTTAAAAAATTACCATGATATTGTTAACCCCTCTGCTCCATAACAGTATTTAAAAACGAATGTTCTTAAATTGAATAATATATCAGATCGAACAACTATGAATTGAGAAAATTTTTAGAGAAAATGTTTTGTGAAACAAAAATTGTACATTTAATATTTGATATACAGTAAATATTTAAATAATTACAAAATAAGAAAGAAAAGATGTCGTTAAACTTAATAACAAATTTGAAAATTTCCGGTAAATTGACAGATCTATCAAGAAACTAGCAAAACTAAATTTAAAATTAATAATATAATTTCCTGGATCGATTCTTGTGAAAATTTCTATCTTAATTAATCTAGAATGTTAAGGTGAAAAAAAAACCAGGTTTCAAGCTGTTATTTAAAAAAAAATAAAAGGCAAACTTAAAAAAAATCATTGACAATAAAGTTTAATCAGCTTTAATGTTTTGAAAATAAAGGCAGAGAATATTTAATATTTAGCACGAGTCTTCATAAAAATTTTGATCTTTTTAAAAAATTAAGGTGAAGCTAAAATTGCTAACTTGTTCATTCATATTTAAATAAAAAAAATAGATTAATGAAGTATGAAACGAAGCTTTTTTTATTCTTTAAGGTTACATTATGTTATTTTGTGACAACTATTTTCAGAAACCATATTTTTGAAACTGGAATATTTAACTTTTCATAGTTATTCCAAAGAATTAAAAAGAGTTCTTCGATCAAGTCAATATATTTCTCGTTTTTTTTCTTCGTAAATTAAAGAGATATAAGGCTTTTAATTAAGATTTAAAAAAGCTTATTTAAATAATAAATTCCCTTAATAATTTCAATAAGTCTTAAAAAGCTATCTCATTTCAAAAAATGCAGTTTATTAAAGTATCGAAACGCTGAAACAATTCAACTTCTTAAAAATATTAAAGCTGTTCTTGTTTAGCATAGTCGCATATTAATATTAATTATGTGTAAGGGACCGTTCACTATTGATGTCAAGCTTAGAGGGGAATAAGGTGTTCGTGGAATTGTGGAACCATAATATCGATACCTTGAATCGTAAATTAAGTACAAGCTTTCTGCAACCTTAATAAGGTAATAAATGGGACCATATTTATATTCAAGTTGAAATATAGCATTGTGTTATTGATAGTTTAAAAAGTACTATACTAATATGATTATATTTAGCACCACATTAAGGTGGCATCAACTTTGAATTATATTATAGTGTTTTCCATAATTCAAGAAATACAATAATGGGGTTGAAAATAGAACCATATTTATGCTACATCAACTTTGAACTATATTATCGTGTTCTCCGTAGTTTAAGAAATACGATAATATGGTTCAAAGTTGCAGCACCATATTAAAGTTGAAGTAACTTAGAACTATATTCTAGTGCTCTCCATAGTTGAGGAAATACGATAATATGGTTCAAGTTAGTATCATAAGGTGTATCAAAGTTGAACATGCTTTGAAATTTTTAACTGGGTAGATACCTGAGTAAAATCACTAGAGCTATTCTTTTTCGTGAAGCTTGTGCAATAAACAGCTCGGACAGCACTTTAAAATGTGTTGATTTATATTATCGTGTTCTCAATAGTTTAGGAAATCCGATAATATGGTTAAAGTTAGTACCATATTAAAGATGCATCAAATTTGGACATGTTTTGAAATTCTTAGCTGAGTAGATACCTAAGTAAAAACACTAGAGCTATTCTTTTTCATGAAACATTTCGTGAAACATGTGCAATAAACAGCTCGGACAGCACTGTAAAATGTGTTGATTTATATTATCGTGTTCTCAATAGTTTAGGAAATCCGATAATATGGTTTAAGTTAGTACCATATTAAAGATGCATTAAATTTGAGCATACTTTGAAATTTTTAGCTGAGTAGATACCTAAGTAAAAACACTAGAGCTATTCTTTTTCGTGAAACATGTGCAATAAACAGCTCGGACAGCACTTTAAAATGTGTTGAAACTTTATAAAAACTTGCATTTCCCCCCTCTTTTTTACGCTTAAAAACAAACAAATTAGTTCTTTTTTCAACGCCCAACTGAAGCTTTCTTTTCATAAAAGAACAAAAGAAGCGTGTATACTTGCTTGGAAAACTCTTTTTACAAATATTTTAAAACGCTGTTGCACTAAAAATGCATTCGACCATATATAAATTCTTTCTAAAAGTAAATAGAATACAGTTTATTTATTCAGTATGTGATGGAATGTTCTATTCTGCTTTAAAGTTTCTCACTTCAGAATTCCCCAAAGTTGCTTTATTCTAAAATCGATTTTCAGAAGTGATATTTGTTTGAAGTATAACAATTTTATCTAGAGGCACAATATTAAACCGTAAGAAAAAGAAGTCTGAAAGAAGAGATCAAAGTTAAGAAGCAAATAAGCGAAATTCACACATTCCTAAAACCAAAGTACAAGGTCGAGATAATTGAAATTGTTATTTCGAAGTGATTGCTATTTTAAATGTAATAAATTTATCTGTAGGCACAATTTAAAATATAGAATATAATGGAATGCGAAAGCATAAACCAAAATTTATGACAAAACCAAAATTTAAAGTTATAGAAACTTAAAATAATTATTATATTTTTTTAAAAATATAAATATAATATTTTAATGTAACATATAATTATTGTGTGAACATGAAATAAGATTGATACTTTTTGTCTTTTTAATTTTTAGATACAAATAAATTAAATCTATCAATTATAATCACTTTAGTCAACTTTCCTTCTTCCCAAATTAAAAAAAAATTCTAAACTTGCTATAATAAAGTAATTTTTTTAATTTTTTTGCATCGAAAATTCTTACACGAAATGTCACGGAATTATAATTGATGACATGATAAAAAAGCTCACTTCAGCATGAAAAATTAAAGCTATCGGCATACAGTAAAAGTAAGTTTTAACGATGATTCACTATAGCAGATGACATGGGATCTTGTTGTCATAAACAAATCTTAAATCAGTATTAAAACAAAGAATTCAAGTTGAAATAGACACATTTACGTTCTTTTTTTGAACAACTGTTTTGCTATTAGACTGATTTGACATACATATCGTAGACTAGACAGAAAGATTTTGCAAGACATAAGATAAAAAAAAAAGAAATGAAGCTTTTGACGTCATCTAAATAATTTTACGTATTCCCTTTAAATTTAAACAATTGCTTTAAATCCAAGTTGTATCTGATCCGCTAAAAATTTTATGTAAAAAATCTAGCTTCAAAGTATTTCTCTTAATATTATAAGAACATTGCAAAGAGAGTAAACGCCTTGCTTAATTTATTATTCATAGAATTCAGCGACAATAATAAAAGTGTTTAAAATTTTCTCGACATTTTGTTACTTTTCAATAAATCAGTCAGACGAAACCTTGTCGTCACTGTGATCCTCTTTACGCTCTTCCTCAACTTCACCACTTTTATTTTTCTCGGATTCTTCACTGTCTTTTTCTCCTTTTTCCAATAAAAGTTCAATTGTGCTTCTACTAGATGCACTTGGTGAAGCAGATTCAATGTCAGGTAGATTTTTAGGAGTGTTGTTATCTGGAGAGAGCATGTCCAGCGGTGGCAGGAACTTATCGTGTGGAGTAATGGTCAATCTTGCAGACTGCCTCCTTTCGGCTGACTCCTTCAACTCACGAGCTATGAAGCTATCACTTGCCATGATTTGGCCTTCTTTAGAATCGTCAATGAGGCTTTTCATAGGTTCTAAGACCTCTTCCGGCAGTTTTAGTTGCTGAAGGCAGTTGCTGGCCTCAACTCGCAACTTTTCTGCCGTATCGTACAACTTTTCCATTATTTCTTTGTTGATATCTTCAGGATGATCGACACAAAGATCCAAAAATTCTTGAAACACTGTTTGTTCGGTGAATTTCTGGAAAACAAAAATGCATACCACAACTTTTATTCTAATGCCTCTAAAAGTACGAAACATGACGAAATTACATAAGTTTGTAAGAATTCAAAAGGTTTACTACTGAAGTCAGAATAAGAAGAACAAAATTAGATTTAAGCCATGAGAAGCAAAGTCCGCAAATACTTTTTTAAAAATTTATTCAATAAATACTTGTATTAAAGTTCAAAAACTTTATAAAATCAATTAATCACAGTTCTCAATGAAGGCTTACTCACACGAAGATTTGAACCACAAAAGAGTTTTTTTTTTCAGGAAGGAAAAAATTATTTTGGGGGACTCTATGTTATTAAATGTTTCAGTCAGTGAATTTTACCCTCCTCTTTCCCTCAGATATACCATATGCATAGTAACGTGCGATATGCATCGCTATTCCGGCATGAATATTTATAAAGATAATCTGTTAAATACTGAATAGATAAGCAAATTTATTTATTAGGGTTGTTCGGAAAGTCATTCAATTCTTTTATGGAAATGAAAGTTAATTTTCTTACAGGGAATAAATTTTTTTTTTAAAATTGTCCATTTCTGTCTAATACCTTTCGCCATTTTTCTGGATGTAGCATGTTCCCACACTCATGAAATTTTCATTCTTTGCTGGCAAAAGCCGAGCCAAGTGATTTTTGATTTTCTCATTTGCAGTAAAGGTCTTACAGTTAAAAATGTTTGCTGAGACCGGAACAAATAATGATAAAAAGATACCAGTTTTGGAGCATATGGTGGATGAGGTAGTATATCTCATCCAAGCTGCAAAAGCTTTTGGCCAATCACCAAACTTGTATGAGCTCACGCATTATCTTGGTGGGATACTAAACCTTTTCTATTTATCAATTCTGACCTTTTCTGTACAGGTGAATCATTCAATTGGCCCAGGTGATGACTGTACACTTCAGGATTAATCGTTGTGTAGCCCGGTAGCAGCACCTCTAAAAAAAAAAAGACTTTTGTTTTGCAATTCAACCAAACAGATAGCATCACTTTTTTCGATGAATATTGGTTTTCTCACTGCTGAAGTGCTTAGAGCTGGTTCATCTTTTTTACGTTATGGTCCCCTCGCGTTGTTAGGACCACCTTTGTTCTGTCCCCAGTGATTTCGTGCTTTAAAAATGGATAATTTTCTTGTCGTTTGAAGCAAATCACAGACGTCTATGAGATTTTTATCCCGTAGGAACATGAAACCATAACGTTTCAAATGCTCATGAACTGTCAAAATCGAAAAATTTAAACTCTCAGAGATATCATGAGTTGTTATTCGTCGGTTTGAAACAATTAATGCTTTAATTGTGCTTTCATCAGCTTTAACTGGCCTTCCAGCATCTTCAATATCCAAATTACTGGATCAAAATTGTGCAAACCAGTTTTGGTACTGACGTTCTGTCAACACATATTCTCTATAATTTTTTCCTTGCCTAAATAGCGTTTCTACTTTTTCGACAGTAAAACGAAAAATATGCCGAAAATGCAGCTTTCCCCTTTTCATATTTGAAATGATACCAACCAAAAATTACAGCGTAGAATCAGTCAAAACTTTGACGCAAGAAAGGGTATCTATCAAAAGCAAGCAAAATATAGTGATTTGGCGGTTAAGTGTGAAGTTGGCTGTGAAAAATTAAGTGCTCCGTTGGGAAAAAACGAAATTACTTTCCGAACAACCCAATATAAGCTTTCCTCTCTAGTTTTCGTAGTTTTACTTTCTAGTAACATTTAATTTTAAATCAAGGTTAACTGTCAGTATCAAATTTATAAAGATTAGAAAACATAGAAAAAAGGCAAATTTGTTTCCTAAAAACTTGAAGAATCCAAAGACAAAAAAGTGTGAAATAAAATATTTCGAAAATATTTGGAAAAAAAAGGAAGAGAAAGAAAAATAGTTTTTTTATGGTTTTGCATCAAAAACTAACTATTAAAATATTGTTCGTAACTTATTTGATTCGAGTTAAAATAGCCTTAGTAGAATAAGCAAAAATAATGTTAATTTTATGCAACATTGATCTTAAAATGTGTTACAAATTTTTTTTTCAATTATAGAAAATCGATGCCACCAACGCCGTCCTCGCTATTTTGGATGATCAACTTAACGTAACATTTGTTTCCCTGAGCAAAATCTATGAAACTTAGGAATTCGAAGCTACGATGGTTTGTAGAAAAATGTCGAAAGTGTGCAATGAAATAAAAAAAATAATCTTCATTAATTAGCTCGAGAATTATTAGCTGTTTAACTTGCATGAAAAAATACCTTACGGATCACTCTACAGTCCGCATGAATATAACTACAGAGTTGAAATTTGATATGATGATAGGGCCATATTTGTTAAAGAACTTAACATGAAGTTTTTATTCAAAATTCAAATTTGCGCAAAATTTACTGAAATTTTAAGTTCTTTTTTGCGAATTTTGTTCGCTTTACGTTGCATTTTGCTTTGCAATGCAGAATCTACAACACGTAATGTATGAAGGAAAAAGTGTATATAAGGAAAAGTGTGGAATAAGAAAAAATAAAGATTCGACAGTTATTAACTTTTAAACTTGTTAGAAAATTATACCATGCTTGGTCGATCTGTAGTTGCCCACTGAAATGCAACTACAGAGTTAGAATTTGATGTGCTGAATGATCCATTTTTATTTGTGAACTTAACATTAATTTATTTCAAAATTCCAACATTTTGAAAATTATTTAAAGTTTAAGTGCTTTGTTTCGTGAAGTGAATGTTTCGGCTTCTTTGCTTTAAATACTATCGATTTAAAAATTAATTGAGCAAATTTATTTTTCCTAACAAAATCTTCATTTCACAATATCGCATTCAAGTGGAAGTCCATCAAAAGGAGCAGAGAAAGTGTGTAAGAGAGAGGGAGAGGAGAGGGAGAGATTACGTATAAATCTTGAGAAAAATAAAATAAATTTAAAAATAAAACTAATTTAATAGAGACACTTTAAAGACCTTTCCTTACTTCAATAGTTAATCGCCTATTTCTTTACGACTATTACATCAAGAAAATTTTCTTACACGAAGCAGCAATAGTTGTTGATTTTTAAATCTAAATGTTCGGTATTTTTGGGGAAAATATTGACGTTTACGAAGAAATAAGCAATGATGAATGAAAATCAATTATAGGGTGGAGGCTTTTAGTCGTATAAAACTTTTAAAGAAAGCAGATTATTTTTTGTTTCTATTAGGTACTCGAAAACCAAAAAATTCAATTGAAAGACAGATAATTGGATGTTATAATTATTATTCGAAAACCACCAGCCTTACCTAAACATTTTTGAGAGTCTTATAAGAAACTTTTACAACACATCTTAAGATAAACTTTGCGCAAATTGAATTTAATGTCCCGATGTTTAACGAAGCTACGTCAACTCGATTCTTATAAGCACACACAATATTTTATCTTTGTTCTCGAAACAATACTGACCACAATCGATCATTTTGAGGGTCACGGGGTTGTTCCAAATTAAGAAAGTTTCGTACAAGAGAAGACAAACTCATTTTCAGCCCTGTCATAACTGGATTCAGTCACTTCTTTCCCTCATTTTCTTTATAACTGAAGTGATATTCCGAGCAATTTTGTTATTTCAAATAATTTGTCTCCATTCACAAAAGTTTATAAAATTCTAATATATATTTAAATAGTTTTATGCAAACGTTTCGATACGAAGTCTGAGAACTTATAAAATAATCAGCGATAACTGTAATGTACAGTGCGCAAAATGAAAAACAGACTACCCTGAGTAACTTTTGTTCTAATGATCAGATCTTCACTTTCTAGAATTCAATCTTAATGATTCGAGGGGATGACTTCAAATATGCTAATTAATTAAAGAAGACGATATTTTAAGTTACGAAATCGGACACAAAAACGTACTTTCTTTGAATAGTCCTTTTCTTTTACAAATTAGGAATTTTGAGTCTTAAAATATAGTGGGTAGCTTTAAACTGGAAAATGAGGTCCCTATAATTTGTTCGGGAGAGCGGTAGAAAATTTGAACCTCTTAATGCTAATTTCATCATTATATCATTCATATATATCATTTCATCATTTATCATTATGTCCTAGAACGTGAAGATCCGATCATTAGATAAAAAGTTATGCTGTGTGGTCTGTTTTTTATTTTGCGTATTGTACGTTTGTTATTCTTCACTAAAATGAGAAAAAAATTAAATTGATTACTTCGGGACAGTGTTTTGCCAATTTCCAATTCAAATCTGCGACAAAATTATACAAGTTACTGATGTCATCCCGAGCTGATTGCCTTTTTACACATTTGCAGTCAAGTTTGTCCAGAACAAATAGCCCAAATAGATAGGATAATAGAACATAGCACATATTCATGTAAGATATTCCAAAGACCAGCCAAACAAATTGAACGAGCACGTATACTGTGTACAACCAATTGGAATAGTTCCGCTCGGAAAGTCCTATGCACAATGAATAAAATGAATTATAAACTTTTCTGTTATAAATAAATTGTGAATACAATTTCAGATAATATTTTTTGGATAGTTGAATGCCTAAAACTGAATTAATTATATAATTAACTTTAATTCAGCTATTATAATTTAAAAAGTGTCTTTTTTCGACATATTTAGATTTATGTGAAATTTATTTTTCGTCAAAAGATTATAAAATTTGTTGACCTCAGTACTTAATTTATTTGTCTTCTCTTTTATTTTTATCAAGAATTGCGTTTGCTAATTGGTTTAGATTAATTCTCAATTAACAAATTTAAAGTTTAGAATGGCTAATTGAGAAAGTTACTTTTTACCAAAAGACTATACATTTTTTTAGCGTCAGTGCTTAATTTATTTGTCGTCTCTTTTATTTTATCGAGAATTGCTGTTGTTAATTGGTTTAACCAATTAACAACATTAACAACAATAACCCGCAATAAATGAGCTATTCATATTTAAATTCCTTTGGTATTTATTGATTTGTTTAAGGACACCAAGCACAAAATATCAACTAAATTTTCAAAAATTGAATATTTATTTGACAAAGAACAAATTTTTTAATTGATTGATGTATATAGTATGTTGGCATTTTGTGTGAAATAGATGTGATAAACATAATAAAACATCAGAAATTTAGTATTTTTATAATTTTCTTCTCCTTTTTATGTTTTTTTTTACTTACTTATTTTTTATTTATTTATTTTTTAAAGAAATTTTGATGCATATTTTCAGAAACCACCTTAATGTATCGAAAAGGAATTCTTCAGTAAGTTATAATGTGTATCAGAGTTGAATACAGAGTTATACATATACAGAGTTGAGTTAAAATATGATAGGCTTTCAAAGAAATAATTTCGATTACTGAAATATATTAAAAGAAGTTTTGTCATTAATTTTCTGCTGAATTAACCTTATTCCAAACAGATCTTGATTTAGAAACTTCAAAATGTTTGTCCCAAAGCGTACTGATGTGTGAGGCACTTTCATAAAACGAGTTCTCCGATATAACCAAGTTTTAAGTATCTTACAATATGTATATTGTCAATAATTTATTTCAAAAATAATCATAATTATTTTTGGTTAAATAATCCAATAATCTTACAATGTTTAAAAAATAATTTGTCAATTATGAATTTGAAATAGCAAGAATTTGGATCAATTTTTAATAACGAGAAGCGTTTGTCGCCCTTAGCAGTTTGTTCCGCGATGAATGAGTCGTTGATGTTAAAATATATTCTGTAGCTACTGATATTGAAAGAAAAATAAATAAACTATAGTCATAAAATTTTTTGCTCTAGTGGTACGCAAAAGGACTTGAAGTGGTTGTACATGGTACGCGTAAAAAAAAAATCCAAGATTGATGTACTTTATCTTTGGTTGCATTGTCTTAATCAAATGCACGCTATTTCAACAATAATCAAATAAGTCTACTATGATCAAAATACCCGCCGTCCAACTGAGGCCAAGCACGTATCTTCGTTTTACAAGACTCCAACTTGAAATGGCCATTCTAAGAACGACACGTAAGCACCAAACTCGTACTTTTTCTCACGCAGGAAAAGATTTTCATCTACGAAGGAATAGAGATTATGTATGTATCTCAGTTATTTTGCGGTCACAAAAAAAATGCAGACTTTTTAAAACCCTTTTTTCCACCAAAAATTTTTTTCCCCATTCAAATCCTTTTTTTACCAAACATAACGGACTGCGCCACCAGAACAAAATTAGAATTGACATGCATAATTTTTAATTTTTTTCTCCTGTATAAAATTAGCATACTTAATACTTACTGTATAATAGCACTGTATAATAACATACTGTATAATACCTTACTTAATAATGTACTGTATAATAGCATACTTAAACACTTACCGGCAATATAATCACCAAGTCCAATAGTCGATAAGGAAAGCAAACAGAAGTACACTCCTTCCATATAAGACCAGCCTTCATATCTTCCAAATATTGCTGCTGGTCCAAGTATAAAAACAACAGTGAAAAAGGCAAAGAACCAGAATCCAGTCCAAGTAGATGTAATTTTTGAAGTGTGCAATAATTCTGGTAAAATTTTTGTGAGGTTTCTTGAACCCTTCAATAATTTTCTTAGGCAAGATCTGTACTCAACCCCTATCAGACGTATCATTATTAAATGTATGGGCCTTCCAATGACGAGGTAAAGTACTGTGAAGGCACGACCCCATTCTGTCGTTGGAACAACATTTCCATATCCTTAAAAAAACATATGAACAATCATACTATTGGAAATACGACAAAGCTGAAAATACTGAATGATAGTGCAGAATCTAATATCTGCAGTCAACAAAAATAGACAATAAAATAGTACAATAAGAATGAGGTATAAACCTAACATTAAAAATACAGTCAGACTTCTATTTAACGAACTTCCCTTTTGCGAATTTCTCTATTTTAGGATTTTTTTTTTGAGGAACCAAAAATATTTTGGAAATTTCTTTGTAAAATAACTTCCAAATAGCGAAGCAAATTTTCTATTTAACGAACTTTTCATTGAGATCCACTTTCCTTATTTTCCAAAATATTTCTTATCAGTCTGCGTAGGGACCGAGGATGTGCGGTATTGGTCCTCGTTAAACTGTTCTACCGTAAAGTGCTTGACTTCACGTGCAGGTCGCCAGGCTACCGAAGCGGGGGTGCCTCCCCTCTGCAGAGGATCAAAATTGTGATGGCATGTCTTCGGATCATCCTCACGGATGTTTCCCAGACCGTCGCCAATAGCCCATTGTGCAGCTCTATTGCGACGTAAATGAACAAATCAAACCAAAATATTTCTTAACATTTCAAACTTGTTAACGCATTTTAGGGGGGAAATAACCTTGAATTAATTTTCTAAGCCGCTGCTTTATGTAATGCATTGCTGTTTTCTCTAAAAATTATCTTAGAGAAAGCAGTTAATTCCCTTTTCCTTTTTGTTTGTATTTATTTCAAACGAAAAACTCAGTTCAAATTTACGGATTTGATCCGCAGCAATTAAACTTAAGAAAGCATGTGGTAATGTATGTTTAAAATTATTTTTATAATAAACGCAACTATAATTTTATACATAAATTTAGATTTTTTATACTTTTATACTTTTTTTAGTTGAAAATGTATATAGCATGATAGTGTAATACTGGATAATGTTTTGCTATCTATTCTTGCTTTCCTTGCAGATTTCTCTTATGGTTAAGATTTATGAAATAAATGGTAGATAGTAAGTGCATCAATTGCTATTTAAATTATGTCTAGTGTTTATGAGTTTAAAACATGTTTTGTTTTGCTTAAGTATTTTAAAAGGTGATTTTCCTTTTAACGAATTTTCCATATAACGAACTTATTATCAGGATTTAGTGACTTTGTTGAATAAAGGTCCGACTGACTCATTTGCAGAAAACTGTTAAATATCGTAGTCAGAATTAAATGACAAAAATTTACACAAAGATCGTTAGAAAAGAAAAGAGAGGTAAATGGAGGTACCTAATACTCTATTATAATTTGTGAGATTGATGAGATAGACGCTATATAGAATGAGATCGTCCTTGAGATGATAAGTCTAATAATTTAGAAGTTATAAGGGTATTACGTATAGCATGTACAATGTTGCACTTGTATCTAACTACGCCTATGACAATGCTTGCTAAACAAATAAAATATTCTTCTGTAGTTCTTACACTGAATCAAATGAGACTTAGCACTGACCAATAAGGTAAATATTTCATAAATTGGAAATTTCCATTTAGATGTATTACTATTATCTTTAATTGCTTTTATATTTTGAATTCTTTTATTAAGATGTAATTTTCAATGGTTTTAGCTGCATTTTGCGCTTTTTCTGTTTTGAAATATTTTAAATTTATTTAAAATTAATTTGATTTTTTAATTTTTTTAGTGTCTTTAAAAATTTTTTTCTATTAGCATCATAAGTGTTTTGCTCTTGGTCTAGGTTTTGAGTTAATTTTGTTTAATGATTTTTTGCCTTTTAGGTTAATTTTAATTCTATGCAAAGTACAATTAATGATTATTTCATGGCGCATGGCTCGTCGCGCTCCCAAACAAGGAGCACTGATGATAATCTTGACGTGGGGATTACTTAAGAGATAAAAAGATACTAAGTCAAATTTTGTGTTTAAATAAATTAAATAATAATATAAAAAATTTAAAAAGTTCAAAAAATGTGAAAATAAAAATTGCAAAACTTGTCCTTTAGCTGATAACTCACAAATTGACTGCCATTCCAATGAATTTTTTTGTAAATGTTTTAATATTATTTATTTAATTCAATGTAATTGTTGCAATTTATGTTATATTGGTCAATTATGTTAAATTAGTAAACTGCGCAGGATAGGGGGCGTTTGTTTTTATGTTTTTTTTTTTTCAGTTGTGGTTTGCAGTCGGTTTGGGATACTTAGTTATTGCATTTTTTATTTTTCAAGTAAGCTTTAGTTCTTACTTTTATTTCGTATTTGTCTTGTTTTTATTCTACTGTGTATGTTTCTGTATTTTATATTGTATTCTTCTGTGTTTTATTGTATTTTTTGCATTCCTTTCCAGAACTTTGGCGAAACTTTTGGGGTACAGAGAAGGCAATTTTTAGACTTTTGTCTTTCTCGATAGAAAAAGTTTTGCATTTATGACATCAGAAGCTGGTACCCCCTAACGACGTCAGCTTTGGTTGTCTTATTTTTCCAATTTTTTTAATTTTATCATTTTCATGTTATCAAGTGTTTCTTTCTTTTATTTAACAGATTTCCAAAAAACTAAAGAAATGTAATCGTTAAGTTACTTGAATGAAAAATCTGTCGATAAATATGTAAGAAATCTATGCTCATACTATAATATTAAAACATATTCAATTCATTTGGGTCAGGATCACTTTTTTAAGAAAGTAAATAGCGGTAAAGATATTATTTTATTATTAACATCATGTCTTAGTTATTAACATCATGTCAAATATTTGCAATCAGCAAAATGTATTCCTAATAAAAAAAATGAAAGTGAACATAACTATGCTAATGTGCCTTTTTTTCTAAATTTAAAGTGGAAGCTGGAAGGAGAAAGTATTCACCTTTATTAAATTTTTAGTTACAACTACTTAATAAATAGAACTTTTCACTCCACTGAAGATTAAAATTTTAAATTTTATCGGTATGAAATAACCAATAGAATTTTTTGAAGTTAATGATCAAAATCTTACCTAAAGTTGCTATCAAAACTAAAGCAAACATCGTCTTTTGGCTGTAGGCGTAAATCCACGAAACGTGAAACAGTGACTTATCATGCACCTTCTCATAATGTTGGCGAGCGAAACTTGCCTTTATTTGTAAATCGTCGAAGTTGTGTGACCGCAGTAGCGTCACCATATCTGTAACAAATTTAGAGATGACCGATCACTAAGAAATATACATAATATTTCTTATGAAACTTTCTTATAAAAGGTAGTCACAAAGATTTTTTTTTAACTCAAACAAAGGAAAACAAATTGCCTAAAAACATAAATGACAGTTGACTTGAAAAAACAAGCAAAGAAAACTGTATGAAAATAGAAATATAAGATTCGATGATGAAACTTCGTGTGGTTTAGGTAACCATACATATTTTCTTCTTAAATTTCAGAAATATTTACAAGGTTTGCCAAAATATATCATAGCGGACAAGAAAAGCTATAAAATAAGTTTTCTGCTGCATGTCCGATAATTCATATTTAGATATTTGTGAATTGTCAACTAATTTGATTTTCAGACTGCGTTAAGTTGAGAACCTTATTTTATGTTTTTTTTTCAATTCACAGTATAAATAAAAATAGGCATCTGAGCCATTACTTTTTAAAATGGAGTACATACTCGCATTTTGTTTTCATATATTGAAATATTAAATGGTTAACGTATAAATGAATTTAAAAATCTTGGCAAAAATTTCTCATGTTGTAATAATAAGTAAAATCGTAAAAAAATAAATAATTTTTTTAGTTCCAAAATAACACATTTCACTTTCAATAGTGATATTTTATAAGAAATAGATACAAGAGGGAAATTATTTCAATATGTCTATACACATTAACTTTACTGATATGATTTTTTTAATGTTAAAAGTAATAATTAAATGTAGACATAAAAATATACGAATTAATAACTTCATTAATTATAACAATTCATGGTAAATAGGTAGCGTGTGAGGTAGTAAACACATCATATTGCTGTACTTTATTACTCTTGTTATAGGTCTTGACATTTATTTCAGTGGTAACGTAGTAATATTGTTAAGATCTTTTTTCTTTATTAGAGAGCTTTTGCGTTACATTCACATTAGTTTAACGGAACTGCGCATTTTCAGAAATAGTGTCGCATTCCCCGGCCCAGACACCGGATTTTCGGGATGCAGAAAATCCTCAGCGGCCATGTCGTATGATTATGCGGCATGTAAAAGATCCCTGGAGTCCCTTATTGGCTCTTGGCATTTCCGGCAAAATTAAATTCCTAGTGCACTTTAGCATCCAAATAGCGTCTCGGTGCTGCCATCTAGTGTGGCAGAAACTAGACGTCCAAATTAACATGACCAACGGTATCTCACCCATTGTGGTGGTCCTGAAAGAGTGGATACCACCTCTGGAGAGCGCACTAGGGTCTGCTCATCGGCAAGACCGATTGTGCAGCTCATTGAAAATTAAAAAAAAAAAAAAAAAACAACGTAGGAACGACAATTTTAACGTAAGTATTTTTAAAATAAGGACAAAAAAAAAGAACTCACAAGTTGGTGTACAACAGATAAAATATTTCATCTCAGTAAATTTTAGCTTCGGATCTTTATGAAGATCTGGAGCGTTGGAAGGATATACATGAATATTAAGTCAATGCTACTAAAAAAACTATCAATGCTACTAAATAAATGAACGGGAGCATATAGTAGAATTTAATCTGAAGCATTTCGAAGAGGAGACAAGTCGAATTTGAGAAAGTAAGCCCTTAACTCCTTATATTTTCTTAATTTTATTGAAAATGTGAATATAAATCTTAAATGAAGCTTATTCTAACTACAATATACATATATACTATATATACTCTTAGCATAACAATATGTACATAATAATATTTAAATATTTTAAAAACGTAAGAGTTTCAAGCAATTTTCAAAGTAGTTTATGAACTTTTTAAGAGAAAGCTCTAAATAATAAGGGGTTTTCCACAAATAGTATTATGAATTATTACAAATTACACTACTTTATAATAACCGGACAGCAAGAACAAAATTGATGTGTTATTAAATGTGATAAACCCCTAATTGCTTTGAGCTTTTTTTTAAAAAAATACAAAAACTATTTAGAAAATTGCTTGAAACTTTTTACGTTTTTAAGATATTTAAATCATATTTTTTTCTATTAGTTGCTAAATACGATTCACCATAAGATCATGAAAAATGATTAAAAAAATTTTTGTCGCTCATGTGCAGTAAAAATGAACTACTTTTATTACTTATATCAATTTATAATATTTTTTTTAAAAAAAATTTAAAGCAATAATTTTGTATTTAATTTCAAATTGCTTCAAAAAGTTGGTTTAATTTTGATTTTAAAGTTATAGCAAAAAAAAAAAAAAAATGTTTTTTAATAAAACTTTTCATATCTCCATAAATATAAAGCTAGATTTACGAAATTTTATGGAGTTATTACAAATAACTATCAAAGTAATTGATTCAAGTTATAAGTTTAAAGCTTGATTTTCTGGCATACGGTGTTCAAAAATACTTGTTCCCTTTCCAATTTATTGTAGGTACCTCAAACCCTTGAAAGTTTTAAACTTTATTGAAAGTGTGAAAAATTGCATAAAATTAACACTTTTAAAATTACAAGCTAGTCCTTTAAGTATTTCTTGAGAAATTAAAAAAAATATATTAAAAACTTAAAGTGTCTTCTATTATTGTAAGGTAGTGTGTTGCGGCATACAACTCATTAGCCTTTAGAACTTGGATTTCATCCAAATACAGATATATCATCAGCAGCACGAATGAATGCTAAATATTGTGGCATAGAACTCAAATAGTTCATGTAATGACATTATTTAGACGAGGTTATAACACCTGAAGTCTTCTTCGGCCAGTAACTTTTGAATTTTACCTAAATACAGATATTTCCTCAGCAGCACGAATGAATGCTAAATATTGTGGCATAGAACTCAAATAGTTCATGTAATGGCATTATTTAGACGAGGTTATAACACCAGAAGTCTTCTTCGGCCAGTAACTTTTGGATTTCACCTAAATACGGATATTTCACCAGTAGTATGAATCACTGGTAAATATTATGGCATAGAACTCATTCGAAGTCTTTTTTAGTCACTAAATTTTATATTAAAACCCAAGTACAGCTACATCATTAGTAGCACGAATTAATGATAAATGTTATGGCATAGAACTTAAATATCATGACATTATTTAGACGAGGTTTTAATATTAGAAGTCTTCTTCAGCCACTAACTTTTGGATTTAACTCAAATACAGATATTTCATTAGCAGCGCGGTAATTCGTGTCAGATTCAGGTGTTGAATATTGCTGCATAGAACTCAAGTAGTTCGTATCATGTCATTTTTTTAGTGAGTTGTAACACTATAAGTTTATATTACCTTCTGACTTTTCGACTTTTAAATTTCACTTAAACAGAAATAACATATCAGTAGCTCGAAACATTGCCTAATTTTACGGCATGGAAAAGCAATTCATATCAAGATTAGTTACAACAAATTAATCTCACAAAAAGTAATTAAAAAGTAACACGTCAGGTAAATTATCGAAAATTCATTTACAAAGCATCTCGTGATCCATTAGCGTGAAATTCGTAACATGGTTGAAAATTTACCTCTCATCAAATCGGAAGAAGTTAGTCTTTTGTCTAAAGGATTTTCAAACGTCCATTTCTTTTCAATCCAAGCAAAAATAATTCCACCAAACAACAAGTAACTCACGAAAATAAGAGTCATTGATCCACATCGTAAATTGGAACCTGAAAAAAACATTAAACGAATGATTATGTTCTTATAAATTTAGAAAATATCTCCTACAAAAAGATATTTTTAATTCACAAATATTAAATATCGAATTAAATATAAATATTCATATGTTAAATATTATAAATACAAACCAATGACATTAGCGAGTGACAGTTTTGCACATATTCCTTGGTAGCTTACGCAACAACAGGAGTTGCGTAACAATATGAGTAGTGTAACAACAAATTCCAACGTAAGAACACGAGTTACATAACAACATGATAGCGTTGGTAATTTCGTTTTAACCCACCCTCGATAACTAAAGTTTCAACACAAAATTTTAATTTATTTTATTTATTACTATTTTGTTTTTATTGAGACGCGTAATTCAGTTCGGTGAAAATTATTAGAAGATTAACCACAATTAGAAATTGAAAAAGAATAATGCAGTGTACAAAATATATAAGTCACAGAATAAATGTACAGTAGACTATATTGAGAGTGTCCCTTGATTCTCGTCAAGTTGTGAACGAGGTTGATCGCCAAGCTGGGCGATGTTGAAACCCAATCTTGATTCTGCTTTGTTTAGATTTTAGAGTCATTTTTAAATGTTCAACGGTATATGTAATTTCAGAGGTCCGTTAGTTCTACGTTGGATACCGGCTGGTAAAATTACTTTAGCTTCTGATCAATAAGATCGAGGGTATGTGGACAGTCATAAAAAGGGATTTAAGAAAAAAATGTCACCTTCAGTCCGGTACCACAGACGCTATTTTCGATTCGTATTTCGCCGAATTTATGTGGCGATGTAGGTACACAGATTCCATTCAAGATAAATTTAGACAGTATCTAACTGCTATTAGAGAATTCTGTGCACCTAAATCTGGGGATATTCTAGCCAGTCAGTCGTTTTTTTCCTTTTCTTTATTTGCTTACTCCATTAATTTTTGTTTCGATTCAAAATGCATTTTATTGGGTTTATTAATTTTGCTTATATCGGGTTCATTGCAATTTTATAAAGTTTTGGCCGATGTTTTGTTGAAATTTTCCATCGTTTTATTAAAATATCATTATATTTCGGCCGCCACTCCTATTACCACGGTGTTCCGCTCAAACAGGAATGGCGCCAAACATAAGTCGCCAACTTCGCTAAGGGGCACCCTCAAGTATATTTTTACCTATATTTTATAAATGCACACCATCAAATTAGGTAAGTTGAATTTTTTTTTTCTTGTCTAATTTAGCTGCTCAATTAATCTATGTTTTTTTTTCGTATTTGTTTTATTTGTTACTCTGCTGAGTGTCTTCAGTTAAGATAATTCTCGGGGTGCTCCGTAAAAACGTGCAAATGTGGCGATATAAAATACGCGCCAAGGGTGGCTTAAGCAGCAGTTTCACCTACTACATCATAGCAAATAGATAATAGTTTACTATTGGGGACCCCTGTCATTTTTGGTGATTTGCAAATAAACGGATATATAAGTAAATAAACCAAGAAACAATCACCTAAAAGTATGCAAAACTTGCGGAAACCCAATGGTGACGTTATTGAAAGCAAAGACAGCCAAGTATATGATGGTAACCAGAACTGGGATTGCAGCAAAACCGAATTAAAATTATCGCCAAACCAAGGGGCTCCCGATTCTACACTACTGCCCTAAATTTATCATAGTTTTGCTTACAGGTAATAAGATCGTTAGAAAGCTATTTCTGATTAAAAATAAAATTTGGCAAAATGCATGTTTGAAAGCTTAAACCTGCTTACTTATGAATACAATTCGTTGTAGGTATTTCAAACATTTTCTTATCTTTTTTGCTTCAGGGAATGACATTCTTGGGATACTTTTCGACCGAGAAAGTATTAAAAAAATTTTTTTTTGTGTTTATTCGCAACACACACATAAGGAAAAATCAATGCCAGTTGATGTGTGCTGATGACAACCAAATGTAAATTTAAGCAATTGAATAATAAGTGATAATCTTTTCGATAAATTTGTGATAAAGATCTTAAAAGTTTTAATACAAAAGCAATAAAATAAAACAAGTAAAGGTTTAAGTGCTAACTTATTTAACATGTTAACATCCAGCATTATCATATCAAAATAAATATTTTACGTATTTATTTGATACTAGTGGGCTGCTCCCCCTGCTCGCTAACGCTCGCCAACCCCTCAAAATTGCTACGCAATCTTATATGGTTTGCTTCGCAAACCAAGCTCGCTTCGCTCGCTACTAACTTAGGTACATTGCAAATGCACAAAATTCTAAGAATTCAAAACAATCATTCAAATCCATATAACAACTTTTTTTTAAAAAAAAATTACATCTTTTTAGTAAATACTAAGTCATTAAAATAAATTTGAATTCAAATAAATGACATGTAATTCGTTAAACCTATTAGAAATGTGCTATAGTATAATTCGTGTTATAAATCAAAAATCGTCAAATAAATTCGTAATATATAAATTCGTGAGTAAAAGCGCTTTCGACAAAATACTAAAATAGAGATCTATCGACAAAGACTACTCACGCCTAGCTTAATAGTATGAGATTGCCGCAGCTAATAGGGTGAATTTCGGAAGAGATTATATTTGGTGAGAATGCTCTCTTTGGTTATTTCAGTTTCCGTTTTTAAAAGCGCTATATGTTGAGCCACCTCAGCTAGATTTGGCATGTGACATTTTTAGCAGCAATCATTGGTCGATTTTCTAGCGTTGCCATTCGGGGAGTTGTATTGAGGCTTTTTTTTGTCACCGTGTAAGAGAAATATATATCTAGATATTACATATTAAATAAATAAACTATAATATGCCTAAGTACTTTATTTTTTAATGACTATCCAAAACATGATAGAGGATTAATAATGGGTGATCTTAATGCTAAGGTGGGCAAAGAAATTGAATTTTATTTGGATATTGGTCGACATAATCTGTATGATATTGCGAATGATAATGGATTGAAGCTAATCGATTTTTTTCACCTCCCTTAGTATGATCATTGGGGAGTACTTGCTTTCCCCATAAAGGAAACTTGGAGAGCACCAAATGGGTCATTTGCTAATCAAATAGATCATGTACTTGTTGAAGCAAGACATTATTTTAACTTGAATTTACATAAAATACGATGTAACAAATAATGAAATAAAAGTGTAATTTAATTTTGTGAACGAAAAATACAGCCAGATAAAATTAAAAGTACTTGAGTTAGTTAAAATAACTTAATTGAGCAGAATAAATTTGTTTGTAATGAAAGAAACAAACATTTTAGGCAGCATCATAATTACATTAAAGATTATTTATATTAAATTGTATTTTATATTATTCAGATTTTTTTATAGTTCCTAATTTAACAAGCATAAAAATGCATGTTTGAAAACTAATTGATAAAATGAACTATTAGAAATAACTCATATCGAATATATTTGGAGAAATTATCTTTTTCAATATGATGTGCTTAAAAAACTGATAAGTAAAAAAAAATTATATTATATATTGGGTGATTGCAGGCAATATAATGATAAGATCATAGGGTTTGAAAAGCAGCGTTGTTGCCACGCTTAGAGTCTAGAATTCCTGAATGAAGACTCTACCACAAAGTTTAGTATAACTAAATAATATAAATGTTGGGGGTTACTTTACGCTAAGAAGTTTAAAAGAGAACTTTCTTGGTGTAGTGAATAAAACTGAATCGAGTATTTACTTTTAAAACTACGCTAAAGATTCAAATATATTGTATGTAGGGTGTTCTATAATTTTAGAATCCTTACAGAACATTAATCCTAGAAAATACATTTCTGAGGTTGCAGATTGATATTTAAAATCAATAAAAATGAAAATGCTATCGGAATCAGAAGGTGAATTTGAAAACCTCTGCGTGATTGCTGGAGGAAACAGAAAGTAGTTGAAAAAGGGTTTTTCATAAACATGATTTTCGTCATGCTATCACGTTAGTTTTGGTGTCATTTTTTTCTCAACTACATTTCGTAAGTTTTAAGCAGTATTTTTTATTAGGAATTTTATTGATAGAACCTTTAAACGTTTTGTACGTTTTTGTTAATAATGCATAGTGCAATTAAGAAGATGATACTTTTTAGAAGAATATAACGATAAAAACTATACACAAAACGGAAAACATTCGAGTTAATTCTAATAGATGATTTCAATAAAACAATTTTACTCTAAAAATATTTAATATTTTTCAACACCGAAAATGGTGGCAACTGCTAAATGGTAGCCTAATGAAGGACAATGGGGAAAGGCTTTCACTGCAATAGAGAATTTTAGACATTTCAGGTGATCACAAGCGATGCGCAATAGGCAAGTTTGGGTCGATCTGTCTCCCGAAAAGGAAAGAGAGAATCCTGGTTCAGTCGCTATGTACCAGTTATAAAATTGTTAGTTTTGTAATTTTATAGGTAATGCTTTGATATTTTGTATTTGAAAATCTTTTTTACCCATTGAAAAAGAATGTTTTTTTAATACATTTTTTTAAATATCAAAATAATACATTTTGTTTTAAGAAACTGAGCTAAATTATTTATGAAATAGTGTAATCGAATTATCTTGATTAAAATGCGAGCATAATTAATCAAAACACTTCCCTTTATTATATTAGGTAGCGTTTATATTGATGCATTTTACTTATTTATTTTAATAGATGATAAAAAGATTTAAACAGTCATCAATGATAAATAGAATAGATAGCTTTCGTTTATGCAAGTTTCGAAATTAGTTGATAATTTTTTAATATAAATTATAATGCCTCAGTAATTGCTAAAATGTTTCATTCAAATATTCAAATGTAAGTTAGTGAGATCGGAGATGCGAAAATAATAGTTGTAAAATGTTATTAACGTTAAAAAAACGCAAAATATAGAGAACTCAATTTACTGGTTCGAAGAGCTGCTCCTAGAAGGGTAAAGCCCTTTGCAGAGATTACTTGGGTTGTTCGCACATGATCTGCGCATTGGGGCATAAACTAAGAAGGATGTCTTAATGTTAGAACTGTACAAATTAAGAAAAATGTCACTAAGTTCGTACTACTAAAGGTTCGAATTTCTTGTTTATGGTAATCAGCATTATTTCTTAAATGGATTATAAGCAATTAAAAGAACTTTTTTTTCTAAATGTTTGTTCAATCTTTGCTCTTAAATAAATTGGTTTCTTATCTATTCAATAGATCGCTGCACTACCTTCTTTATATCATGTCAGTGGAAAGTTACTGAAACTTGATTGCAAGATTAATATTTTTATTTAGAAATGTTAATAAAAAGTTTTATTGGTGGTTGCGGAATAGAGACATTTTAACGCTTCAGGCAATAATTTCTTTATAGCTTTCAAAAGTATTCTTGTACATAATAATGAGATTGTGACAGCAATAGAGACAAAATAAATAAGTAAATAATTTTTCAAAAATAAACTAGCATTTTTAAAGATTAAGTGGCTCATAAATATCTCACATTTTTTACGCTAAAGTGTAGATTTGAAGTAGACGTTCTATTTTTAAGAAAGTTTTGAGGATAGATATTTTAAAATTTAGCTACTTAATGAAACTTTTCCAAATAGAAAGCGTTGGGTACATTCAGCAATTTGTTGACGGAAAAGCTGAAAGCGACCTTAAAGTTGATATTTGCATATCAAGGTGTAAAACTGAAAAGTGCACTTTAAAAGTTTCGTATTATCAAAGCTAAAGTTTCCTTTTATCTTCTAAACTCATTTGTATTCATGCAAAGTAACACATCGTTGCAGGTTCCCAAACTCTGCTATTTCTATTGCACAGGAAAAGAGAAATTTCACTACGAAAGTTATATTTAATTACGATTGTAGCTGTTAACTAACTTTTGACATTTGTATACGTTTGCGAGGTAAATAATTCATTATTCTTTAGAGAAAGAACAGCAAATTGTTTTTAAATAAAGATGTATATAAAAAAAACAGACAAAATAATTACTGATTTAATAAGTTATTTCCTTTGTTTATTTTTGAATTGATATTTACGATTCAAATAGTTCAGAATTTTCATTTGTAAACTATTTTTTACATTGTTAGGTATAATTATTGTAAATGCTAAAAACCATTATCACGAAATTTTTCTTTGCTGTTCCAATGGATTGGCGGAGATATAGTGCATTACTTCATATTTTTGTCATGAATCAGTAATATCAACAAGAATGACATGACACCATGAAATTGTCCAAGCGATTAAATTGAGTCATTACTTACCTTTCGTATAGTTTTTTTTATTGCGATTAAAAACCCGAGCAACAAGGGTAAAATAAAATTATATTTTGACATAGACAATCACTTTGTCAAGACATACAAATAGAAAAAAAAATTTAAATATTATTTTTTAAGAAACAGAACTATTTTAAATAATGTTCAGTATATTGGATGTTGGGTCCCCAGGAAAATATTGTACAACATTTGGTACAAATTTAACACTTAAAAATTACATTTATGGATTTTTTCTGTTTATACGTCTTTACAAAACTTTTGGCTTTGCAAAAATATTATTTGATTTCCCTTTATTGGTATTGGTTTTTGGAATTGTTTTTTTTTCCGTAAGCATTCCTTATTTTGCGTTTTTTAGTTTATAAATAATGATTTTTATTGAAATTTAAAATTTTTTGATAAAAATTATTATCAAAAAACTTTTTTTGCAAAATTAAATAATATGAAATTATGGACTTATGTTTACTTTTTGCATATTTTAATGTTTGAAGTAATATGCTTCTTGAAACTATGGGATGTAAAGTTTAAATAGGCCTTTCATGCTATATCATTAAATTTAGTAAAATGATTTCGCAGATAATAATAAATATTTCTTTCTTTCTGATAATTTATGAATATTTTTGCAATGTGTTTTGGATGTTTCTTCTTTAAAA